GGTGGTGGAGGTCCGCTTCCTGATGGCATTGGTGGTGGGGGTGGGGCATTTGAATGCGGTAATGGAGGTGGTGGTGGAGCGTTTGATTGTGGAAGAGGAGGTGGCGGGGGAGCGTTGGACGAAGGTAAAGGAGGTGGAGGGGGTGCATTTGATTGAGGCAATGGCGGTGGCTGTGATGGTCCATTGTCTCTCGATGGAGGAGGAGGTATCGGCCGAGTCGACGAAGGAGGTAAAGGAGGTGGACTCGACGGTCCACTTGAAGGACCTGAAGGATTTTTTGGAGGTAACGGTGGAGGAGGAGCGTTTGAAGGCGGAACAAAATGAGTATGAGGGAATGGAGTACTCTCTCGGGGAGGAGGCGGTGGTACTGGTCCTCGACTTGGTGTTGGGGGCGGACCAACCTTTCGTTCTCCCAGAAAAGGAGGCGGTACACCGAATTTTGATCCGGATTCTCCAGGTTCGTAAGAGTCGTCCACAGGAGTCTTTGGAGGTCTGGGCGGAGGAGGTGGCCCAGGATTTGATAATGATGCTGCGTGTGCTCTCGATGGTGCTTTGTCTTTGATATGAGCGAACTTCCCTGCATCTGGGAAAGGAGGTGGAGCAGCAAATCTTGGTGGGGGTGGTCCTCTTGGTGGTGAAGGTTCTCTTGGAGGTGTAGGCTCTCTCGGGATATCAGTCTTTGCACCAGATCTTCTCGCTGGGGGTGGTGCTGGTGGTGCTCCTCTTCCACGACCTCCTGACGCATTATGAGGGCTTTCGGATCGAGGTCTTGAAGGTGCCGCAGGAGGCGGGGGTGGAGGAGGTGCCTTTGCTCTCTGGTTCTCAATTCCATTTGGTGCCGGGGTAGACACCTGTGCAGCTTGTTGCTGCCTGATATAATCCGCAATGAAATCTTGGTTATCCCTAATGAGATCGTCTGTAATACCCATCTGCTTCAAATCGTCGCCCCACGTTTCTCTCCAATTAGGGTCAATGGCGTCTAGCGCAGAAAATTGTGATCTCCCTCCAATGGAGCTTCCTGAGTCTCTATGAACCGGTGCTGGTGGGAGTACATAACTTGGAGATTCCGGAGGCGTAGGTTGCATAGAGGGGGCAGAAGAGTGCCTGTGTCCACCAAACAATCCTCCTAATAGACCATGCCTATGTCCTCCACCAGCTTGAACTCCTGGGCCCCCGTATGGATTTGCTTTGGTCGCTTTACTAGCATTCTTTTCTCGATCATTCATCTTCTTCAAAAAGGTCTTGGCTTCCTTCTCATCCACGAAAGACAACCCCGCGAGACAATCTTCTGTTTCGAAAGTGTGAAAGAAGGTCCGGTCTTGATTGTATGACCATGTATCGTAGATTTCCTGATCCCATATTACCCCTCGATTGGCAGACTATTACAAGTTAGCATCTTCTCAAGCCTAGATTGAAGGTGGTGGGACTGACAGAGACATCTACCAGCTTGAGCCAGTATGTATTCCCCACCAAGTCATTTGCAAGGACTACCGCCCCTTGAAGACCGGTATATGTCCATTTCTGCCGATTGGGGTAGGCAATGTAGAGTCTAGCAACCGCTACAGCCTGGATCTTGTTGGACTGCTTGGGGACCTGACGCTTAACCGTCTCTTTGTCATCGTCGGACAATATTGAGGGCATCTTCGCTGCTCAGGGACGCTGCCTTCTCGATAACCCCAACTGTAACCCCCTCGAACTTTATAGTTTTGCTTCTCGCAATATTCTCGAAACAAGACCGGGTCGCGTGGGAGATTGGCCTCGTAAATTGGTGCTTCCTATGCACATTTGGACATAGAAATGCCTCGGCGCAACGGTTGGGAATGTAAAAGGTTATGACCACGTTGTGTGAGGAGATGAGTGATGTACTGACAGCCGTAGACCAGGCAGTAATAATATTCACTTAATTGGCGGTATGTCGAAGCTCTGGTATTGAACTGACGTCGGGTAGCAGGTAAGAAATGCCAAGACTTTCAAGCCTCATTTGCTCAGCCACACGAAGGCAACAGTTGGGCGGAACATAAAATCAGATCGTGACACGCGTTCAATGACTGACAGTAAAGGATCCAGAAATACGTGGTCAACTACCAATTGTACAACATTCATACATGGTGCATGTTGGTTGATTCACAGCCGGTGAGTTGTACTTGTGACCCACTTGGTGTCTCGCAATATCCTTCGCCAGCATCATCCGAGATCAGGACCTCGGTATATATTGCATATTCCGCTCACAACAGTTCATGATCTGACTAAAAAATTGGGAATTGGTGCAAGGCCCGTTGATTTGTTCACCATGCCCAAACAGCCATGCAATAGCTACTGTAGTATTCCTCCCGATGCCATTCCTCCTGATGCCATTCCTCCCCGTTGCCAAACGCCTTTCCCAATAATGGATTCCGCCCACCTCAACTTCTCATGTCACATCTTGGATTCTCTGATACATGATCAGCTTCCCAATTCATGATCAGTCAACTCAGGAAAGCAAAATCCTACCGGAGAAGCATTACTTGTTCAACGCATCTGCCTTGGCCTTGCGTTCCTCCTTGGTACCCTCTTCTTGCGCATTGAAGTCTTTGGGAACAGCAGGACCTGGCTGGGCTTGGTGGTGGATGAACTTGACCTTGTCGCCCTTTGGCTCTTCCTTCTGGTGGAGAGGATGGGTGCTTGCATTGTTGTCTGTCTTGGAACTGGAGTTCGCCATAACGTGCTCTGTAACTTCACCAGCTGCGTGGTTATGGGTTTCGTCGGGACCGGCAGGCATGATGAAGGTCGATGTAGATGTAGATGTGATGTAGACTTTGATGTGCAGTTTGGCTTGTGTAGAAGTGAAATTCGAGAAAGGATAATTAATGTATTTGTATTGAGAGAAAGGAAGTAATTATACTTTAAATACACTCCTTTATAGTAGACTCGATTCCTTGACTGCCCCTCGCCTCCCCTCCAAGGCGCCATCAAAGCCGATGACGTTGAAGAGAAATCGTGTGAGCTGCTACGGAGATACACAACCCGTCACGTCAAGCCGGACTTGTACTACATACACTACCAAAGTCTGCGGGGCAACTTTTTACGCGTCCGCCCATCTGCAAGTCATCCAAGATCTCGTGCTCGTGCATCTGCATCTGCTTGGTGGGGTGCTTATTCTCTGGAGCCTGAGCTTGGCATGACCATGAGAGCTTCAGATGTCTTCCGCGAACGGTGACCAGCAGCCCGTGAAGCTGTCGCTGCCTCTGGTATGCCCCCCGTTTGTACATTTTCGTGCTTTGCTAATGAAAACAGAGATACCAACAAGAAGTCTTCCAAGAGCTCCGTCAGAAAGATGAACTCGTAATCATCGCCCGCGGTCTCGGACTCCTTCGATTAGTAACAAACCTCCTCCACTCCTACGATGCGGCTGGGAACAATCTCGTATTGGTGGTTGGAGCAGACGATCGCGAAAATGGATGGCTTGGGGAAGCTCTGGCAGAACATGCTGCTATCAGCCAGGCTCCAAGGGCCCGGGGGCTTAATGTCGTTAATACAGACCTGATGAGTGTTGGGACAAGAGAGAAAATGTATGCCCAAGGAGGGATATTTAGCATTACATCGAGGATTTTGGTGGTAGATTTATTAACCAGCCTCATACAACCGGAGACTATTACTGGACTTGTAGTCCTACATTCGGACAGGATTGTGGCTACATCTTTGGAGGCTTTTATACTTCGGATATACAGACAGAAGAACAAGGCTGGCTTCCTCAAGGCCTTCTCGGATAATCCAGAACCCTTCACTACAGGATTTGCTCCGCTTTCTACCATGATGAGGAACTTATTTCTCCGAAATGTATCTCTGTGGCCTCGGTTTCAAGTCGTCGTTGCCCAGTCACTGGAAGGAAAGAAAAAGGCAGAAGTCATTGAGCTAGAAGTACCAATGTCAGAATCTATGCGAGATATTCAAAACGCCATTATGGAGTGTGTTGAAGTTAGCATTGGGGAACTCAAAAAGAGCAACTCTGGTATGGAGATGGAAGACTGGAATGTTGATAGTGCTCTTCATAAGCAATTCGACATGGCTGTCAGGAGACAGCTTGACCCAGTTTGGCATAGAGTAAGTTGGAAGACCAAGCAGATTGTCAACGATTTGACCGTTCTACGTGGGATGCTCCATACCCTGCTCACTTACGATGCGGTCTCGTTTAATCGACATCTAGATACGATATTGGCCGCCCATTCTCCTCCTCCAGGGTCCACAAGACAAAACCAATCACCATGGCTCTTCCTAGATGCTGCTCATACAATTTTCGCCACTTCAAAAGGAAGGGTATACACTGGCAAGCCTCAAACTGGATCAGAAACTATTGAATCTCTGCAACTAGTTCTTGAAGAGCAACCTAAGTGGGCAGTCCTAGCTGAGGTTCTAGAAGAGATCGACCGAGACCTCTATTTCAATCCTACTGTGCGAGATGATTCCAATGGAACAATCCTGATCATGTGTACGGATACGGGAGAGTGTCGACAGCTGAAAGAATATTTACAAAATATGCATGTCCGACCAGAGACTGGTGAAGTCGATGATGATGATGATGCGGAAAAGGACACCGAGCCTTCAGCGAATTTTATGATGAGGAGAAAATTGAGAGACTATCTAAAGTGGAAGAAGGACTTTGCAAAAGTCAGTGCTACTTTGTTTGCTGAAAATCAGAGCGTCTTGAACGGTTCCAAAAATCAAAAAGGGACAAATAGTTCCCGTGGAAAGGCGCCTGCGAATAAACGGAGGAGAGTGAGGGGAGGTGGGAATACCGGTTCGGGGCCATCACGAGCTGCCAATGGCAGTATCCTAGCAGCAGAAGACAAGCCACTCGAAGTTGCCAATCTGATCTCCGAGATTCAGGTAACAGAAGCAGAGGCTGGACAGAAAGAAGAGATTACAGCGGATCCATTAGACGACATGGAAGACTACTACCAGCTCTACGATGGCCAAGATCTTGTCGTAATCCATGCCTATGATGGGGACATGGATGAACACATTCTAGAAGAAGTCAAACCAAAGTACATAATCATGTACGAGCCAGATACGTCTTTTGTCCGGCGTATCGAAGTATACCGGTCATCACACAACGACCGGAATGTCCGAGTCTACTTTCTCTACTATGGCGGCTCAGTCGAAGAACAGCGGTACCTTTCTTCTGTCCGTCGAGAAAAGGATGCATTCACAAAACTCATCAAAGAGAAGTCCTCCATGGCTATTACCTTGACAACTGATGCACACGGAATTGAAGACCCACAAGAAGCATTCCTCCGAACAGTCAACACCAGAATAGCAGGCGGTGGCCGCCTAGCAGCAACAGCCCAGCCTCCCCGCGTCGTAGTCGACGTCCGCGAATTCCGCTCCTCCCTCCCCTCCCTCCTCCACGGCCGCTCCATGGTAATAGTCCCCTGCATGCTCACGGTCGGCGACTACATCCTCTCGCCCAGCATCTGCATTGAGCGCAAGTCGATCAAAGACCTCATCTCCTCGTTCAAAGACGGCCGGCTCTACAACCAAGCGGAAACCATGCAGCTGCACTACAAATCTCCCATGCTGCTCATCGAATTCGACCAGAACAAATCCTTCACCCTCGAACCCTTTGCCGACCTCTCCGGCTCCCTCTCCTCCATGTCCTCTTCCAACGCCTCCTCAGACCTACAATCTAAGCTCGTGCTCCTCACGCTCGCCTTCCCCCGCCTACGCATCATCTGGTCTTCCTCACCCTACCAAACCGCCGAGATCTTTGAGAGCCTGAAAACTCAGCAGGCGGAACCGGATCCCATTGCTGCGGTGCGGGTGGGCCTCGAGGGCGGCCAGAGAGCCGAGGATCAGACGTTTAGCAGGGAGCCACAGGATATGCTGCGTGTTGTGCCGGGGGTGACGGGGAAGAATATTAAGAATCTTGTGGGGGGAGGTGGGCTGCTTGAAGGATGTTGCTAATGCGACTGTAGAGGAGTTGGAGCCGGCTGTGGGGAAGGAAGCGGGGAGGCAGATTTATAAGTTTTTTAATAAGAGTGTGCTTGAGGAATAAATGATTCAGTATCCCAAACTTGCGTTGCTAGTTAGCGAACGCACTCTGAGCAGAGATCAAAATAGTTGCATTGAAGACAGTGGTAATGTTACGACGTTATTTGATTTGTGCAGTAGTAACAACAGACTCGTGGTAGCGGCGTAGGTCTAGCAAGAACAGACACCGTGAACAGCAAAGCTTCAGGAACAGGGAGCACTTGAGCAATCAAGTGATGATGTTCTGTCTTGGGGCCTTCGAGTTGAATACGCAAGTAATCGGCTCGTAGCTACGGATAGTCATAGCAGAATTACCATAGTGATCAAGACCCGATCGATTTGAACTGATCGAAAGGCGTTTCGACTTTGTTGTGTTGTCGACTTCGTTTCGTGAAGCATGAAAAGACCATGCCATGATGGCCCATGTCTACACTAAACTACTAGTGCATCTTTGCTCTACTCACACCCTACTGACACTATGGCTACTCACCCCCCCCTTATCCGATTGAGGTGAAGGTTCTCTCACCTGGTCTTTGTCTACAAATTCACTGGTGATGCCCTCTTTCTTACACTTTTTTTTCTTGTATCTTTAGAAGTAAGGAGGCGGAGTGCAACGAGGCTCATTTATGCAACTGCGGGGATATGGATCGGACTGACCCCGCGGCCACACAACATGCATGGTTGAGCAGTCCACGGGCGATGCATTTCATAGCCTTTTGCTCTTTCTTCTCTTTTAAAAACCTCTCCCCACATTAGTTGGACATGGCCTTCAGTTGGCAAGTTACCAGATTTACACCGAGACATAGGTCTACTAATACACAAGTCACCTGGTACTGCATCTCACGCAGCCTTTTGTGGCTTTCCTCAGCCTCATCCGGTTCACAATGTCGTTTGGTTATTCCGTCGGAGACTTCATACTGCTCACACAACTAGCGTACGGAGTCGTCCAAAATGCACGCAAAGCCTGCGGCGCTCATCATGAACTCGCACGAGAAATCGGCGGTCTCCATATCGTCCTAGGACGGGTTGAAGTCGAGGTGTCGAAGCCGGATTCCATTCTCAATAACAACGAAGACAATCGAAGGAGGGAGCTGGAAAAGTTGGCAAGACACTGCGAGAGGATCTTGAGGGTCTTGAAGCAGATTTTGGACAAGTATAATGCACTGTCGGAGGAAAGGAGGAGTGTCACGAAGCTCTGGCAGAAAGTCAGGTTTGGCAATGGAGAGATGTTAGATTTGGGGAAGATTAGGTCGGAACTTGCAACACATACACAGGCACTTAACATGTTCTTGAACTTGTTATCTATTGGATCACAGGGAAAGGTGGAGAAGTATATGGATTCCCATGGCGAAGAGCTTCGAGACATCAAGCACTCTCTGCATTGGGTCACTTCTTCTATGCAGGCTAAGAGTCATGAAGAGAAGTCGATTCTGACAACATACGGAGATGACGACAAAGCGATATGGAAGGCGTTTCGAAGAGAGCTCATTGAGGAAGGATTCTCCGGGCGATTGTTGGACCGACATAAGAGTACCATCAAGAATTATGTGATGGAACTTGGAGAAAGAGGTGCTTTGGATGAACCTATCCAGCAAACACCAGAAGAAGATATCGAAGCTCAAAGCATGTCACCCCCCGAACGACCAAGCTCTCCAGTATTCTTGGACTCCAGTTCTGATTCGGGAGAACTTACTGACTCCGAAGCTGAAGACGAGCAAGCTGGTCAAGGTGTTCTTACGCATCTGGAAGAATTATCAAGCCCCACTGCTGGCCAACAAATGGAGGAAGCCCACAGCAGTTCCAGCAGCCAAAATGAGAGTGACGAAGATAATGACCAGGGATGCTTTACACCTCTAAGGCCGCCCACCAATACTTTTGCTACAACGGCACTACCGAGCAAATGCACCAGTCCTTCCGATAACAATTCAGACAAAGACTCGATCCCGTTTGATAGGATGGCTAGTCAGAAAATCGAAGACCATAATGCACCACAACAAACTTGCAAATCGACCGATGGAGAATATAGGGAGAGACATGGCTTATATAGACCGCGTCGCGAAGGTTTGATTCTCAAAGTATTTGCAACTACGGGCTATGCTAACCCTAATTTACAGTTCACTTAGTAGATCCTAATAACACGATCCATTCTTCATATCCTACAAGCCACGAGCCTTGCGGACCTCGACTCAATGGACTCCACAATGGTAAAACGTCCACAGAGCTGGCCACTTGGAGATCAGCTTTAGAAGAAATTGGACATGACTTCCGGAATATCCTTCAACCGATAGTCCTTCGTGATCTATCAGAGATAGAGCAATTCTCATATGAGCTAGATGAATTTCAGCTCAATATGTCCAGGTTGGATGACTTTATCCATGATATTGATATGCCTTGGAATTCTCCCCCCTTCATCCTTTTTCTCGAGAAAGCTAACAAACTGGTAAAGAGTATCAGAATTTCTGTCAGGGCTATTAAGTTGACCAAGTCTAAAGACGAAGGGGTGGTGAGATTCTCTATGTGTAGAGTAGCGTCTCTATATATCGATCGTGTCCAGGAGATGAATCGACTTTTTATGGATAATCATGATTCTCGGATCAGAGGCATGTATGCCTCAAAGGGGAAGCAAGAGGATTCGTTATCTTGGAGAAGAGAATCATGGTGGCGAAATGAATCCGACCCTTTTTTGTCTCGCATCGGTCGCTTCTCACAGACTCGGTGGGAAGCTGGGTCGGTCAGGTCTCGGGAGCCCAGCTGGCTGACGGAGTAATCATAATTGATTAGTCGCTGACTTAGTATGGTTCGTAATAAAGATATTCTTTCCTATAAGTAGATCCCTAAATACCGTTGCCATATGGATTGCTTGGAGCTCACTTTCTCTACCAGTTTTCAAGGCATTCCCAATACTATATAGCCTTATGCCTAATAGCTTAAAAGCCTGTAAAGTTGTTTGCTTATATAACTATGCTCTTTGACCTTTATAGTATAATGATCCAAGCATTCCTTCTATACTACCTCTGTAGCAAACTCAAGGGTTTATATGGCGGTCTTTAAATAGAGAAGGCTGTTAAATACTACCTTTAGGAGTTGAGAAATGACCGCAGGATGATATAGTTGATACCTTAGGTGTAACGAGGCAGGCAGACCAGGCCAGGCAGCCGCTGAACTATACCCACCCTTTTCCAACGCAGGCACGTGCTTGTCATCCATCCTAAATAGGCAATTTTACGTCTTTTGTTGCACGTCGCCAAAATCTTGCTGTACTTTACCCCCGGTCTAATACTTCCCAAGTGATCCTTAAATGTTTATGGATCGTCGTTGATCCGCCTGACAAGCTGCTTTTCCACCTAGTATGAAGGAATAACTAACTAGTCGGATCCTCTGCTCCTAATAGATACGCACTCCGGTCTATGGACTACTGAAGCTATCAGCTGAGAATAAATCATATCTCTATGAAAGTCGAAACAAGCCCCTTTATCCATATCTTCACATTAAACTCAAGAAGCGCGCAACCCGAGGCGTTTATATCGATCAGGATATATATGCATTTAAGCCCGCATTGTCTCGGTACTATGCAACTCGTGTGTAAATTCTAGAGGCGTCGGAATAATTAAGTCAAGATGTCATGGTGGATATGCAAATTCTTCCCAAATAGGCAATCGAAGTCAGCTTTGTTGCACATCGCTCCTATCGTCGATTCGGTGTCGATTCGATGACGATAGCACGTTGAGATGATCACAGAACCTGGCAATTTCGTTTTTGTTCGAAGATGAAGTAAAGGATTTGACCTGCTCTTTTTGCTCCTGCTGTACTGGTTTAATCAACAATGGTATCTATTCGGATGTATCAGAATTCGATAATTTTCAAAGTGTATCTAAGATCTCTTTCTCCACGAACGCCGTCGTTGTTTGCACCTGCCAACTCGGCCGCTCCCGAGATCTGCAACTGCCAGGGCCTTCCCTTCCCTTCCCTTCCCCTCATACGTCATCATGCGTTGGCATCGTTCCTTCCCCACCACAACCCCAAATTTTGGCCAAACTTCACCACCAAACAATGCTTCTCCCAACAGGTAAGTTGAAACTTCCTCACATGCACATCCACCCTTCACCCTCACCCTCATTCTCTCTCTCTCGTAACTCATTTCACAAGCTGTACACGTGCGTCCTCGCCGATGCATCACGTTCTTTTTTGGATCTCTCTCTCTCCTTTTCCAAGCCTGCTTTTGATCCTTATCTCTCCACAACAGGGGTATTCAACCGCTGCCTTCCCCTGCATTGCCCTGCCTTGCTTGCCCAACCCAGTTCCCCAATCATCGCCACTCATCCCCAGGCTGTCCAATCAATTCTCCACTCACAGTACGTCACAGGAGATGCAGGTCGTTTCCAAGTTTCTATTGACCCATCGTGGAGTGAGTGTGACTGACACCGACTGCATTTCACTGCGCGGGTAATCGCACGAGGCTGTGAACCTGGCGTGAACCTCGTCCTATTCTTGGATATTGTCATTGTCGTTCTGCGATTGACCACCACCCTGGCTGGTACTATTGGCCTGCCTTCCTTCGGTACTTATATTCTGTCTTGACTATCTCTTTGTCACATCAACACCTTTACGACTTCACCAGTCAGTATGTCTAAAACGAATTCCTTGAGCGCAATGCGTCGTAGCCCTTCACTATCGCGATTACTACTCGCTGCAATCCCTCTATTATGTCTCATCCAGACAGTATCAGCATATCATATGAATCCTTTCTTCGAGAGAAATGCGAATCCTCTTCCGCGACCTGCAAGATGGGGTCCTCCAATGAAACGAGACTCCATACCTCTTGTTATCAGCAATAACTGCGCCGAGACTATCTGGCCAGCCATCGGTACCCAAGCAGGCACGGGCGCTGGTACTGGTGGTTTTGAGCTGTCTCCTGGTAATAGTAAGAGCTTAACTGTTAGCGGAGATTGGCAGGGCAGAGTTTGGGGCAGGACAAACTGTAGTTTCAACGTCGCAGGGAATGGTGCCAGCAATTTGAATGGGGTCGATGGCTCTGGTGCTGCGTGCGTTACTGGTGATTGTGCTGGAGTGTTGAGCTGTGTTCTTACCGTGAGTACTTGCTGCAATTTGGTTTCCTGTTGCTGACGAATTATAGGGAAGAACACCCATCACACTCGCCGAATTCGACCTCGCAGGAGGAACCGGGGGTGAACAAACTTTCTACGACATCTCACTTGTCGACGGCTACAATCTCCCCATGCAAGTCATCTACATTCCAGGAAACAACCCCAAATTGAAAAATATTCCTCCAAATCTCACAAATGCTGCTTGCATTGCAACTGCCGGTCTGATGTCAGCTCCAGCCGGTTCAGGTACTTCAGGCAACGCAACTACAACCGCAAACCCGCTTCCCTACGAATCGAGACAAGACTCCAAAAGTATAGCTTCCTGGTGTCCATGGGATCTTCAAGTCAAGCAACCTACCAAGCCAGGAGATGGAGTCTACCCATATCCAGATGACAACATTCAACGCCCAATCTTCGACCCTTGTCTCTCTGCCTGTGCTAAAAACAACCTCCCAAAGGATTGTTGCACAGGCTCTTACAACGATGCCAAGAAGTGCAAACCAGGTCTATATTCTAGGAACGCCAAAGCCGTCTGTCCCGACGTCTACAGTTTCGCTTTCGATGACCAGACCTCTACCTTTGTGATCCCCACCGGCGGTGGCTGGGAAGTCAAATTCTGTCCCGAGGGCAGAAGCACGAATATCATAAACACGTTCAAGTCGCAATTGGGGGCGTTGGGTCAAAGTGGACTCACAAAGGCGATTGAGGATGCTGCTGCGAACATGACTATTATTGAAGAAGGGGCCAAGAAGAGTGGTGCTGAGCGAGTTAGGGGCGAGCCGGCTATGGGAAGAGGAAGTTTGGGAGCTTTGGTCGTGGTTGTTGCTTGGGCTGTTTTGTGTTAGTGGAGTATAGGTATGGGTACGGGTATGAATTATGAATATGACTGGATAGGAGATTGGGTTTAGGAGAGAAAGAAGCAGTTGGATGAGGAGGAATATGGATGGATGGTTGGTTTTTCTTTTCCGTTGTTGAACGAACCTAAGATACCCCTTTTGCATTGTTAGACTCCTATTGTACATAAATATGGAGATGGAGAGAGAGAATGATTACATGAATAGAATTATGATTATTACTTGCTGTTTAACTTCGAGGTGCATGTATTAAATCTCCTCGTGTGAAGTCTGGCTTGGGTTATAGGACTTGCAAGTTTCCAGAAAAGAGAAGAGAAAGTGGGTAATGGCTTGCTTTATTTGCTTTGCAGAGCTTTCTACTCTGCTCAATGCATGTATGTACAATCAACATTTTCTGTATCTCATCATGATATTCTCCACCCACGTACACACGCACGCACGCTATGCTATTGTAAAATCAGCTGTCCATCCCAAGTGCACCGCCATCTATCAATCCAGAACTCCATAAGTATCTACCCTCAAACGAAACGCACTTCCACTCCCGTTCCTACGTCACTTCAAAACCCCTTGCTATTCCCATTCCCATTCCTCTGGCCCCTCTGCGCCTCCAACTCCTCCCGATCAAAATCACTCCCGCTATCACTCCCCGCCTCCTCCTCCTCCTCCCCAGCGCCGTCTACCTCCTCCTCCTCATCGAAACCCCCCCTCTCCATCTGCACGAACACCGCCTCCTCCAGCACCTCCCTCACCTTGCCCAAGCCCGGATCGCACAGTGCGGCTGGGGTCAGGTGCGCTTTGTTCCGGATGCGCGGGTCGGAACCGGCTTCTAGCATCATGGTTATGAGGCCGAGTGCGTATTCGAGGTTGTGGGGTGAGAGGGGGAGGGGGAGCGTGTTCAGGTAGCGGATGGCGGAGTGGAGGGGGGTGTCGGCGTCTAGGCGGGTTAGGGGGTCGCATTCGAAGAGGTCTTGGTCGAGGAGGAGGTCGATGATTTCGTCTAAGGGGGGAGTTAGGGAGGATGTTGGGGGTTTTAGAGGTGTGAAGGGTTGGGGGATGAGTGCTTACAATTCCCTCGTAACGCAGCTTCGTGGTACGCGTGGTTCCCTAGTACGGTTTTCGTGTCGTTTAGAAGGCTTGCTGCGGCGGTGGGGGAGCCGGCTGCTGTTATGAGGGATTGGAGGAGGTCGGTGTTGTTGCGGCGGCAGGCTTCGATTAGTTGTTCGCCGGGGGAGGCGCCCTGTTGGTTGTTAGTTAGTTACGACCAACAGAGGAAGAAAGAAGAGAAGAAGAAGAGATCGGGGAAGGGGTGTATAATACCTCGACTTCTTCTTGTTGGTGTGTTGTTGCCATTATTGTGTTTCGTGGATGGGGCGGGGCGGGCGGTTTGAGACACTTGGTGGAGGATAAAGTTGCGGATTAGAGGGCGTGGTGGAGAAGTATATTAGGCTGGTGTTTTTGTTGGTGTCTGTAAGGACAGATGTATGGTTGTGCAATAGTCCACGATTCTCTAGGTAGGAAAAAGAGTACGTTATGGTTTTCGCAGTTCAGCGCTTCCTATAGTGATACAGGCAGTACGACATCAAGAAGGATGCAATGGATGCGATGCGACGCATTTAGCGCCGGAAGAAACTTTGCCCGACAAGGCTACCGACCTATCTTCTGATATTGAATTTTCGACTCAGCCTTTTCTCATCGCGTGCCTTTACTCTTCATTCCGAACACAAGGACTTTAGATTGTTTCTCGAGATCCAGCACATGTCAAGATGTTACTCTGTACGTCCAATCCCGATTATCGCTAGCGTCTTGTCTTCCCATGTGCGAAGATGCAAATGCAAGCAAAACTAACCCCTCACCTCACCACCAAGTCTGCCCCTCTTGCAGCAACGTCCTCAACATATCCACCGTGTAAGCCTCCCGCCATCCTCCCCCTATCACTATCCCTATCCCACCTCCAATCCCACTTCCTCCACCCCCCTGCTAACCTCCCCCCTCCCCCAGATCCCCAGAAGACATATCCAACGCCGGAAACCACCGGCTCGAATGCCTAACCTGCCCCTACCAATACATCCTGCAAGCGCGCTACTACGAGCGCAAGACGTTCACGCACAAGGAAAGGGAAGATATGTTTGGGGGCAAGGGCCAGTGGGATAATGCGCAGAGGGCACGCGTGCAGTGTACAAAGGATGGGTGTGATGGCGATGAGGCGGCGTTTTATCAGGTGCAGATTAGGAGTGCGGATGAGCCGATGACCAGTTTTTACAAGGTGAGTTTGTGTGCTTTGCCCAGGGAAGTGGGGTTTCTTTTTTCTGGTGTGAGATTTCTTTTTGGGGGGGGCGTGAGGCTGATGACTTGGGTAGTGTATGACTTGTGAGCATTCTTGGAGGGAGAATTAGGGGGGATTGTGGTTAGAGAAGGGGGGGTTGTGGGAAGGAAAGATGGTTTTGTAGATTTTGAGATCGGAAGGATATGTGCTGAGAGCTAATTTGTCTGGGTTGCTTGCGGTTCAGCGTGGCGTAATGGGAATCGAATCATTTGGCACTCTGATATCACTCTCAAAATTGTTTCCTTTGAGAAGAAAAGCCTTCCTTCTTGAACGCTCACGATATCGTTTATTCATATCTCACCTAAACGCCTGGTATCACCATTCCCGCACCCCAAACCAGTTTTAAACCCAAAACCCAACCCAACATCTGCCCTTCCCTTCCCTTTCGCTTGCTCATCACATAAACCCGCCGCCATGCCAATCTCCCCCATCTCAAACCCCCTAACTACCCCTCCAAGCCTCCGCCGCCCTAATCCCCTCCTCCATCAACCCCCCCACCACATCCGGACTCAGCACATCGGCCCTAAACCGCTCCTGCTGCAACAACTCGAGATTCTTCAGCGTCGGGCCCGGGTACATGAGGTATTTGGCGTAGTGGGGTAGGGCCCAGTATTGCAGGTAGGAGAGGTAAGCGACGAAGGCTGGGTTTTCGAGGTATTTTTGCGAGGCTAGGTGGTTGAGGTAGAGGGGGGAGGAGAGGGATTGTACGAACTACGGGGGGAGAGGTTGTTAGTTAAGGTAGGTATCTTGGGGGTTGGAGATGAGTTATTGATTGATTGATTGGGTAGGTAGGGAGGGGGGAAAACCTCTAGTTCGACTTCGAAGCGCGTGAAGCCTCCGTATTTTGGCTCTTCGGAATCGGATGTGCTTGTAGGGATTGCAGGCGGTGTTTGCGTGTCGGGCATGGGGATATCTTGGGGGGATGAGGCGGCTGCCATTGTAGTACTATATGCGAAAAATGCTGACTGGTGAGAGATGTGACAGTCGAGGCTGAGGTAGGTTGAAAGTCATGACGAGGCTGAGATGAGCTCAAGCTGGCTGGGTGTAGATCTTTCTTTTGCTTAGCGGCGCCGGCAACTGTGTCCACCCGTCCAACCCCACACGTGCTTCAGTTACTGGACACAGAATATGGGATCCAAAGGATTGCTTTCTTGCATGAATCTTTCTTTATATTGATTTATCGGGTTGGGAATCTCATCTCGTTATACAGCCTGACATGAAGTACTGTATGATTGAGAAAACAAACAATAGTCTGCATTGTTGAAGGGAATTGGTCCATTACTTGGCTTCATGGCATGATGTCGCTCTGGTGGCTTTCTCCGCTTTTACGAATAGGGGAATCTCACCGCCTACTGTACGGAGACATACTCCGTATTCAACTCCTTCCTGATTAGATTTTATTTATGCTGTTGATGGAAGATCTCTTGGACTCTATAGAACCTTCCAATTGCGTGCTTAGAACTTCGAACTGCAAAGACAAAGTTGTTTTGACCGCGAGAGATCTCGGAACAGCTGGTATAGATTAGATTCTACCCCACGTCCAAAAGACGCCATGCATGTCTGAACGTCCAGCGTCTCTGGTGACTTTAACGATCTTGTGACCACAGTGTCGTTACCGTGACAGCTTAAGCTACAGTACAAGCTACCAAAATTGTCTTTGCATATTACGGGACGCCGGGTCCTACGGTACCAAAAGGGGAGGGACAGTGGCTGCACTACAGTAGTTCAGGGGGTGGATACTCAATGTGATCATGATTCCACCAATAGATGGGATAAAACTTCCTTAATAAGCTTAAATCTGAAGGTATTCACATGGTTTCCCCATAAAACCGTGTCGTAATATCCTTGAACAGGGAGATCCGAAGATAGGGGTCCTTCTGGATCCAGTATTGATGAGAGAGAAAATATGGACGCGATGAGGTAACGAAGGAAAAGTTGTACTGGTACTGGGCTACGGTTAGCAACTGCCTTTCCTTCTTACCTCTCCTCTGCAAAGTCAGCATCCTCAAAAGAATCTCTCCAGCACCGCACGTTTTATTTCACCTAGGAAAACAAAGCAGACTTCTTTCTACCTGATTGTATCTATTCCCTGAATACGCATAGCACAGTGCAGTGCTGTCCAGTATAGTACGGCACGACTCGATGACCTAGCTTACGAATATCTACGCCCCCGTTCCCGACTGCCCGTCCTCCTGTGAGACTATCCTGTCCTCCGTGTCACAAATACACACATACCACACCACACCACACCATCAGAGGAGAGAAGAGAAGAAAGACCCCGCTCGAACGCCCGTCTCTCCGCTATCCACAGATTAATCGCCCGCTTCCAATTTTCACTGCTTTTGGGGACGGACATTGCACTACAGGACTCGACCTCGACCATTCTCTTCTCGGTACCTTGAGGTATTGGGCACCGCGATATCTACCTAGGTCCCTCCGTAGCTTCCAAGCCAAGCCCTTGTGCTAGGAGTAGACCATCTCGGAGCTTGAAGTACTCGTAGAGGGGTTGAAAGCGCGGCACCTGGCCTGGTTCTGGAATTGAAAAGCGGCACTACACCTTACCATTCTCGTCTACCCTTCATCTCCCAACGGATTGAAATTTGAGTGCTGCTTTGTTTGTCGATCTCAAGAGTCAAGGGCGAATATTTAGTCAGGGAACATTCACAGCGCCACCATCACCACCCAGCAGCAGCCGGACGAAACAGACACCTCCACCAGTCCCACTACCTACATCTTCTTCCATTATTCACACCTTCTCCTTTCACAGGACAACCATTCCAGCTCCAGCTCCAACTGCCATCAAATATCCCCCCTTCACCCGTTGTGCATTGCCACATCAGATCGCCAGATATTACTTGAACGCATATTCGCGTCCCACACCAAGAATTAATCAATCAATCAATCAATCCCTGGGCAGATTAGGAAATAGAACATCGCAGTAATGTCGCTCGCCCAACCACAGCATCCAGGTCCGTTTCTCTCCTTGTTCTCCCTGTATCATATCCTGTACCCTCGCAATCTGCCAATCGATGCATGTTTGGCCCAAATTGGGTGCGCGCTTCGACTCTGCAAGGCAACGATATCCCTTCCCCACCCACTTAACAACGTTTGGGCGTATCAAGTTGGCCATCGCTCCGTTTCAGACATCCCACACACCAAGCCAGATTCATTCCCCGAGCATTCCCAACCCCCAGGACATTCGTCGTCATTCATACTCGTACAATCACACTCATGCATGAATCCGTCCGCTAACGAGATCCTGTTTGCCATATAGATTCGCGTCCCTCCCCTCCCAACCTCACCCTCTCTTCCAACAATCCGTTTCGCAATCGAGCAGCATCGCCTGCTTCCAACGGTCACACATCCCCCTTTGAAGCCCCCCCTCGTCCTGTATCACGAAACCCTTTTCTCGACACCTCTCCAAATAACGATCCAAAACCATTTGGTGGTTCACCAGACAAGATGGCATTTTCACAAAACGAGACTGCGGGAAGGCCAGCATTGACGGGCAATGCTGCCGATTTATTTGTACGTAGATGTCGCATGTTTCTCGTCTTGATTCCATGCACAAGTACCCATTCTGGGAGTTGATTATCGCGTCACACAGTGCTAACTCGCCATGTAGGACAACCTCACACTCAACGATAGACCGTTCGGCAGTAATGAGATGCGGGCTCCGGCTCGATCAAACACAGACAGGCAGCCACCACCTTATTCATCAGTAGCTGAATCTGGACGATCCGAGAATGTCCCCCCTCGACATAGACCTTCTCGTTCTCAAGAGGAAGCACTACGAGCTCGTAAGCCAGGAGCCAAGCCACGTCCAGCTGGTGAATTGGATATTTTCGCCGACCCAACAGAAAGCTCATCATCGCGGAGGCGAGTACGACGTAACTCGGACTCTTCTGTAATGTCCAAAGCTTCGCGCAAGTTACTCGACCCGGAAGAGGAGAAGAAGAGATCAGAGAGAAGGCGACGAGAGCGTAGACACCGGGAGCGTGATGCTAAGGATGGGAAGACCAGAAAGCCAGATCGCAAGCTGGATATCATTGATAAACTTGATGTTACTAGTATTTATGGTACTGGATGTGAGTATTCTTGATCTATGTTTAAGACAGTACTAATATAAGATAGTATTCCATCACGATGGACCATTCGATGCTTGCAACCCACACCGAAATAAACAAGGTAGTCGCCGTCCACCACCAATGCAGGCATTCCCGAAGGATTCCTTGAACAATGTCCTAGGAGGTGGAGGACCATTGAATAAGCGTCCAGATCACGCAACATTTTTGGGCAACAATGACGGTGACGCTTTCAAAGATTATAGTGCCGGTGTACAAGGAAAGAATGGTTTCGAGCCTTATGACAACGGTGCCGTTCGACCTGGTGCTCACCGACAGGACTCCAACATTATGAACGCTACTTCTAAAGTTGAACCTATTCACGGTGAAGAGACGATGGGCTTGGGTACTTCTACATTCTTGGAAGGAGCCCCAGCATCAAGAACTGCCATGCAACGACGAGAGATTGAATCAACATCACCCACAGAAAGCGGTGGCTTAGGCCGAAAGAAGTCGGTTGCTCAGAGAATCAAGGGTATAACCAGTAGCAGGCGCGAATATGGTCCTTCTGGACGAATCACCAGTCCTGAAGGGGCTTACAATCAGCGATCTCCAGATTACACACCTGGGGGAACCAAGATTCATGAATCCAACCCTTTTTTCAACGAATTCAGCAGGGGTGATGATAAGCCAAAGGAGAGCATCACTATCGTCGAGCCAGATAGGGTTGGGCGTGCAAGAGCACCTAGCAGTCCTCGTCGTGGATTCGCTGGTATTGAGAGAAGAACTACGAATGATGGTATGACTGGTGAAGCTCCTAAGGTCGGAGGTGGATTCATGTCGAGAGTCAAGAGTTTGAAGGGTGGGCCTAGGAAGGCCAGGGCTGATAAAATGGAGTCTTGAAATGGCAAGGCACGCGATCGTTAATTATGATTTCATTATCGTGGCTTGCTTATTTATATGCGAAGAGCAAGCATCGTACTTTACGCTGTTGGATACGGAGCTGGAGCTTGACCAGATCCCAGAAGTTTCTTTTGTTTTCCAGACGAGAGATGAGTCTCATTGGGCGTTGGCATAGGGATTTGCTATAATAAGAGGTATTGGTGCCCTATTACTTGGGTACGTGAGAATGGAGCGAGCGAAACAAGAAAAGAGGTGATACCAGCGTGCATAAGATAGGATACATCATAAATTGACCGAACGAATGAATTGACGTGTCTTGTAGCCGAACCTGTGAACATTCTATGTCTTTTGCCTGCGTCTGGAGGCACTTACTTGGCGGTGTCTCTTAAATGACACGTCCCGACCATTCATCCGTCTATCTTCTACTGTTGTGTATGTAGACCTATGGCCAAAATGGGATGCATGGTTTGTTCACATCCGTAAGGAGAAATCCATGTAAATACATACAATTATTACTTACGATAACTTGGAAAGTACGAGTACATCTTCCCCATCCGTAGAGTCTTAAGAGTACAATTAACTAGTTAGTCCATGACTAGAGTTTTAAGAGTAGTTAACTAGCTAGCTGGGAAGGAAGTTGTAGAGGGCTGGCGGGAAGGGAGGAGGGTTGGAATGGACTGGAGGATGGGTGGGTGGCACGTGATTTGTGTTGTATATATTGGGTTGGGTTGGGTTGGGTTGGATGTAAGGTATAGAGTGGGATAGTAATAGGTGGTGATAGATAGATTTAAGGGGTCTAAGGAAGGATTTAGGGAATCGAGGAAATACCTAACGCTGGATTAGGTTATACTAGATAGGTTGGTTAATTGAGCTGTATTATTACCTAAGTAGGTAGGTAGGATAGGACCTCGCTTGCTAATTCCAAGTGATGCGACTCGCCTCGCCTCCTTATCCTCGTCCTCTATGTTTTTTATTTACACTTAGTATAGTGTACCAATCACTTCACTTCACCCCTCCACTACACCGCACTCCAATACCTGCTTTTGTTTCAAAATACCTAGGTACACAAGAAAGTTGACGTTCTGGAGGTGCTGTATAGTACGAGTGAGTATACGGATTGGAGGATATGAGATACCTACTGTAAGGGAAGGCGTCTAGGTTTGATTGCACGTTGTACTGCTGCTGCTAGTTTTGAGGGAGTGCGGGAGAGCGATAGGGAGAGGTTATAGGGTGTGAAAACTGGTAGAAGCTTCCCATGTGGCTTGAATTGATGTTTGGGGGGGTGAAGCACTGAAGCTTGATCAGAGCGAGGAAAAGGTTCGCCATGCCGGAGATAATACATGCTCACGCTCACACGCACGCCAATACCAATACGCAAAAGCCGGTCCCGGCACTTCCTATCTCGGCGGATGTTTTGCTGGAGAGGGAGGGGGTGTGGGGGGGAAGATTTACTAGGGATGGGAATGGCGAGAGGGTTAGTACGGGGTGTGGGGTCTTGGATGGGGTGTTTAGTGTTAGGACTAGAGAAGGAGGAGGAGGTGGGGTAGAGAGGGGTGTTGTGGTTGGGGGTTAGTGGGGGGGATGAGGGGGTTCTGGTATGTTGTATATCTTTCCTTCCTATCTCTTCGAGTTCTCCAGTTCTCAAATTCTCGGCCATCGAAAGATCTTCTCTTTTAACTCAACCCCTCTCTTCTTTATTTCCTTTTTTTCTTTTTTGTCTAAGAGAACAATTCTGAGATGAGATGTGATGAGAAGATGAGGAGTTGGAAAATGCCTGTCTGTGGAGTATGCAACATCGCTAATAAATGGATATATGAGTAGATATCTTTACATCTGCTGACTTCAATTCTCCATCCTCATTTGCACGTGGAGAGGAAATCTCAAATTGAGCATGAGGGAATGAAATCAAAGAAGAACACAAAAACCAAAGTGAAAGCAACAATAATAACAAGCACCGCCTCTTCCTTCCCACTTCCTCTCCTCTCCAAGATCCTGAAATCCCGCCTCCTGGCCTCGGATGCAGAAACCGCGGTCAGGGAAAACGATACCGGGAATTATGTTTCTAGGACCGGGTCAGGGGGGAATGGTGGCGATATGAATGTGGAGAAGGAGGTGGAGGAGCGTGTAAAGATGGCAATGGAAATGATATCCCTAACGCGCGTCTTTGACATCGAAGGCCTGGATGAAATCCTCACAGATCTTGAATCACATACACCTGCATCTCCAGCACCTCCTCAATCTCCACCGCACGAAATAATCGACAGTCAAGCATCGGATATCTCTCTAAGCCCAGGCCCCATTACACGTTCCACGATCCCGGATCCAGATATGGAAAAAGATGACAAGCACAAAGACGAAGACGAGGGAATCGAAATCCTGATAATCAATTCCCTAACCCCTCTCTTAACATCCCACCTCTCACACCATGAGAAATCAGAAGGTACTTTCCCTCCCCCTTTTTCCCTTCTGCTTCTCCACTCCTTCTCCAAAATCAAAGCTTACCATCCACTAACGAACAACAGCACACGCAACCCTCACGACCCTCTCACGGAAACTGCATACCCTAACGAAAACGCAAAACCTACTCACAGTACTGCATAACACACTAGTTTCTCCGCCTCCACATCAACATCTAGCTCCCCATCCACAAACCCATTCTCCAGTCCCAACAACAACAACAACAACAACAACAACAACAACTACATCTCCAACTCCACCAACCCCTCCTCACCACAAACCCCCAAACCCCCATCTTCACCATCTTCTCCTCCTCCTCAACCCACCATGCACGTCCAGCTCTAGGTCAAGTATTCGCGCAGTTCGTCGATCTCCATGTTTTTATATCCTCCCTACCGAAATCGAGGCGGGATGCCGAAATCGTATACACCACTTCCTCTTCTACCTCTCCCCTAGCCTTCAATTCCACTTCCGTTTTCACATCTGGATCTGGATCTGTTTCTGGTTTTGGATTCGGTAATGAGGAAAAGGAAAAGGAAAAGGAAAAAGTAAATACGTGCTATGTTCTTGAGATCCTCAAAGATGAGAGCCCGTCTTCCGGTACGGGGTATGGCGCGCGTGAAGAGCGATGGATTCCGCTCGAGGTTGCAGGGGATGGGTGTGGGTTTCTACCTGCGATGGCTCTACCCGCTTTCTCTGGCCCTCCTGCCACAGCAAACGCAGGGACGGGGATGGACGTTGGGGGTGTGGCTAAGGTTTGGGGGTTTGGTGGACGGAGGGTTTGATTTGGGCTGTGCGGTTTATTGTGCGTGTAAGGAGGATGGGGGAACGGGGAAAGATGTATAAGAAATGCTTGCTTAGCTAGCTTGGCTTGCTATCGCACCCTCCACCCGCTGGAGAAATAAGAAAGAGCGGAGCTTAGATGGATGGCGCTCGAAGACCTTTGCATGTAAATATTATGCTTCCAAGTACATATAATACAGTACTAATGAAATATCAAGAGCAATGAATACTTACGAATAAATAATAAGATAGGGCGAAGTTTTTATAATCTGATGTGATAGCAATTGATCTGGGTATTCATCTATCTATCTCTGTGTAGCAAATGGGGTATCAAATCATCCTTTCTTTCTACCTTTTGATGCCCCCTTTCCATCCCATAACCCCTCCCAAGCAAAAGAGCAAAATTGTATATATAGCCAAGTTGATACCCATTTCACTCCCCCCCAAGTCCAGTCCACCCTAGTCCGCTCCAATCCACCTTAAAACCCCATCCATTCCTACTCAAACACAAAACACAAAGCAATAACACAACACAACACAAGCCCGCTCAATCTCAAAAAACACCAATCCTAATCTCCCCTCCCAGCACCTCATCACCCTCATCCTGCACAACCCACACCCGATGTTTAGTTGCCAGACAGAGAACGTGATAGAAAGCCTGCGCTGCGACCATGGCGGTGTTCTTCTGCTCATCGAATAGCTCTTGGAAGGTGACGGTTCTGTTATCACTTCCATCTCCCCCCTCTCTTGAAATCCAGGCTCGTCCTCACCGAGTTCATCAGGAGTCTTTTCTTCAATAGTATTCCTTACATACTGGAAGAAATTATTACTCTCCCGATCCAACGCCTGGCGAACCCACTGCGACGTCCCCGCCGTCTGCGTATCGACATTCGCCGCCGGTCCGAAGAGCTCAAACTCATCGCCATCCCCACCGCCTAGACTCTCGAACCCAGGGGCGTGGGAAGAGCTGGGAGCAGGAGCACGACCAATACCCGCACTTTGGGCTTGGCTAAACTCGTCATCGCGTCCATACATAATCTCATCATCCAAGAACTGGTCCGGAAGTGCAGAGCCCCGTCCAATAAGCGGAGATGCGGACATGAGTCTCTTGCTCGCGAGGGATGCTGCGCCTTTATTCGAGCCGCGTAGAGATGCGGAGACATTCCAGGGGAGGAGGGCGGATGAGGGGAGGTCCGGGAGAGCAGATTGTGCATCTCGACCGATTTCGATGCCGGAACTGCTGGCATCGTGATGGAAATCATTTCCGCCAAAGTCAAACATCTGATCATCGTTTTCGAATCCATGGCCACGACCGACTTCTTCCTCACCAAGACGGGCGCGCTTAGATGGTTCTTGATCCTGTTCTTGTTCGTGTTCTTCCTGACGGCCACGTTTGGAGCGTTTGACAGGTGAGACAATTGGCTTGCCAGTGATGAGGGAAAGGAGGTTTTCGCCTGCGAACATGCTCAATGGGGAAGCAAGCTTCATGGACCCAAGACCATCGCCGATGCCTAAAAGACCGTTGCCGTAAACGTAGTGGAATGCGTTGTTCCTTGCACGTAAGGCGGCCTTGTGATTAATCTTCACTTGACTTGCAGCAGCCATGTTTGCAACATAGTGATCTTTAAACGCAATCAGGTCGCTGTTGCGGAGTTCAACGAGCTGATCGGCAGCTAGCTTCTTCTTGCCCTTGGTCTTTCTCTTCTTGCGGAGAGGAGCGTCGGCGGAGATGGAGGAAAGGAGGTCGGACGATGGGATCGGAGAGTGGACGCGGTCGGCCAGGGTACCGTGGAGGGATTTATCGTTTCCCTGAAGAGCTCCACTCATGTACATACCGGCTGGGAAGGCCTCAGCATCTGGCAGAGCCATGTCATCATCACTGTAGTTGAACATGTCAAAGTCTCCCTCTCCATCGAGGATAGGCAGAATATGACCGGCTGCTTCTTCATGTTGTCTTCTGACTCGACCACTTGCTGCAGAGTCGCTGCCGAGACGAGCTGCGCGTACTGATTCGGGAATGTCGAGGAGGTTGCCGTCCCCGTCAATGTCGAATATATCGTCTTGATACATCATCTCTTCACCAAATACGCCGCCATCCTCACCGATATAGGGTTTCTGACCAGAGCCACCGAAAGGGTCATCGAATGGTAATTGGTACGCAATGGAGTTTCCACTTGATGATCCAAGGTTGAGAGGTGGAAGGGAACCTGAAGAAATGGAACCACTATGGAGGTTAGCATTGCTTGAATGCCGAAAATAAGCCCCCACAAACAACGCACGCATGTAACCAACATAAAATAAAAGCTCTCAACATACCTGCGTCCCCCAAGACTCATCAAACTCTGACTCCTCCCCCCCCTCTCCGGTTCCGCACTCATCATCTCGCCCTCAAACTCCAGCGGTGGCAACGCCATATCCGGCAAAAAAGCAGGATCATCCGCCAACATCAACTGTTCCGGCTTCGCCTTCCCCGCATTCCGATCCAGCTGCGCGCCTCTGCTCTTGAGCATGGCACGCATAGCCGTCTGGGCCGCGACTGCATCGTTGAGGACGTAGGTGCATTGTTGGGAGTAGATGCGTGTTACGCCGTACCTGTGTATGTTAGTGATAATGGATAGATATAGGAATTTAAAGGAAATAAGACGTAGAAGAATACAAGAATAACCCAAAACAAAGGAAAATGATTAAGAGGGGGAGGGGGGGGGAAAGGACATACATAAGATTAGACTGCAACCGCAATGCCATAGGCGCTTCAGGCTCAATAATAGTCTCGCATGCCTTCTGCACATCAACGTCCGTGATGGCTTTACGTGTTACTTTCTTAGCAGAAGATTTCGCGCCGAGTGTTGCGACGAGCCTGTTTTATATCCATCAGTTCCTCTGAACCTCGAATGCAAATCAAGCAATCCATCAATCAATGGCCACAGAATGGGATACAAAGGGAAAAGAAGAACTAACCAAACAGTAGCAACGCCATACTTGCGACTCGTCAAAACTACATTCCCAGCTCATCAGCATTTCCCTTCTTTCCCTTTCCCCCCCCCAACACCAACCCAACTCATCTCAGACACGATAGGACAGACGTACTTTCATGGCTGTAAAACATCGCGTCTCTTTCTCCCCTTTTCTCTCTTTTCCTCAATCCCTCTCTTTTCCCCACGTTCAAACCAACACAAAAATACAATCCTTGATTCGATTCGTTCCTCGGTGCGTGTATGTGTATTCATAAAAATCCCAAGAACCTCAACACAACACCAACGCGTCCCTTGAAGGAAGGAAGAGGAGATTCGCTTAGATCACATACATCACGTGTATTCTGTCGCGCCTGCCCATCCATCCATCCATCCATCCCATATCTTCTGCGACGCGTTTCGCGTTTGGGGTGTGGTAGGATAATGATGATGATGATGATGTTGTTGTTTTTGGTGAATGAGAAGATCTATCTATTCATCTATAGGTACCTAGTACGAAATAGAATGGAAAAAATAGCTCGATTACAGGAGGATCAACCTACCTACCTACCTAGCTTCAAGATTCAATACCCCCTCAAGGCTTCTACCAAATCTCCAAGTTCAATTTCAAGCAACAAAGTTAATGTCTCTCGGGACCTCTTTTCAAAACATAACTCTTAAAGCCTTGAACTCTTACAGTAGCCCAGCTATGAGCACTCCTACCAGAAAAACACATACCCACTCACTCATACTTGCACAACAAACAATTTCAAGCTTACAAACATTTGAACGAATCACAAACAAACACAAGGAATGATTTCAAATGTTAATTCTATTGTGATGAGTCAATCTACATGCTCCAGCTCTATTCTCGCTCGCAGTCGCTTGCTTGCTCGCTCGCTCGTGTTAAACCAAGCCTCTATATTGGGCGGTTGTGCTTCCCTTCCCTAAACGCCATCCGATGCATGCATGTCCCCTTTGCTACAATAGCACGAGAATGATTATGTCGTCCTCCACGCGATGAAGAATGCCATTCTAAAAGAAAAATGCCGCAGCTTATGCTGGCGCTTTATTACGCTGAACCCCTGACCCCTTCTATATATTCCCAGCTTTCATCGTAACTTCGTAATTGAAACAATCCGCTCATCACATCCGCTCATGAACGTGTTGCGTGAGCGAACCCTTTGCCGGTGTCGACGATCTTAAACTTGAATGTGATGCGGAAGGTCGGACGAGAGGTGTCTTTGAGACTGAATTGTTCGCAGTGTTGTGACCACTACCAACTCTTGATTGAGTTGTTGATGGCGAGTCTGGTGCTCTAGACGATTCGTTCTCTTGCCAGTTCTGGAATTCTCGAGAACTCCAACTTGCTCTGTGAACGCGAGCGCCAAAAGGCACGTTACCATATCCCGCGTTGGTACTTCTCATGCTATGTGCCATACTGTTGGCTCTACTTTGTCTGTTGGGGAATGAATGCTGAGATGTGTTTGGATGAGGCAAGTTTGCCAGATCCGGAACAGTGTCCTCATCTTCAATTTTTGGAGCTCGTCGAACAGCATTGACGCTGAAGTATGGCTCCTTTGGTTCTTCTGGAATAGGTGGAGGTGGAGGTGGCAAATCCGTTGCCTTGTCTGCGACATGGCCAAAGTACTTCATTCTAATGTTCTCCATTCCATGTGGCCTGAACTCTTCGCGATTGCGAGTGAGTGACATGTAGCTGGAGAATGCACCAAGAACGATTAGAATCAAGAGGCCAATGGTAAGCAGACCCTGAACGATGATGATGATAATCCCAATGACCGTTGTTGGAATTCGGGCAACATTGAATTGAGGGAGGAATGCTATCGTAAGTCCGGCAGTGGCGACTTTGCTGATACCAAGCATCCATACTGCGAGCGCTGTATTCCTGGCACCTTCGAATGGGTTAATCTTGACGATTGCAATGAAAGCAATAACCTCCCACACAAAGTTCCCAAATACTTGAGCCTGTGGATTGCCACGAGCTCCACCAACAAAGCAAGCCCTCACGAATTGATAGACAACCCAGAATGCAAAAAACCACCATCTGGTGCGTCGATACCGAGCGGAGAGCCATCCGAAGCGTTTTGTGTAGGCAACATTGTCGTGGACGCTGTTTTGCCCTTCAGTATCATCTCCAACGAAATCCAATTTGAAGAAAGATACAGATGCCGCACTTTTAGTTCTCTCTGATTCTTCGAGTTTGCTTTCGCGAACTGGTGTGAGCCATGGAATAAACTTCATAATCTTTCTCTGCTTCAAGTGGATCCGCTCTGGCGAGGATTGGTATTGCCCAAACTTCACTCTGTAGAAGCAGGCATAGAAAGCAATACCCAGGCCTCCGACGAAGAAGATCAAAAAGACAATGGCAGCAATGGCAATCGGACCAGATTTGCCTCCATAGGAGAATTGAAACATGGACAACGTCATCATCATGAAGAACGAGATGAATAAAGTGCGGAGAACAACGAGGCCGGTAATTCCAAGCCAGTGGCTTCTAAATAGGGCGAGGCGATCATGCTTGATCCATTTAATGGTAGCCAATCCTTCCAAAACCCACTTGAATGCTACTGTAAGTGCAACAAGGATGAGGATTAAAATCAGAAGCCATACGAAGCCGACGGTGAAAGCATCCGCAGCTGGAACACCGACATCAGAGAGTTCACCAGCAAAATTAGACCAGTTTCCGGGAATTGGCAGTCCAGGAGAAACAGGAAGTCCGGCCCATTTAAACAATCTTGGATCCGAAGTAGCGTTGGAAGCCGCTGCCCTCTTGTAAAGGCGGCTTGCAAGCTCTTCGGCTCTCTTGGAAAATGGATTAACGAGCTCCAAAGAGCGTCCGTAGATCTGCTGTTGAAGACCACCATTATTGTTGAGAACGGTAGATCCGGCTCCACCAACTTGACTTGCATTACCAGAAACACCAGTAAAGCTGTCAATTGAGTCGATCATAGATTTGCTGTGGATCATACCCGCAGACCAGGCAAAATTACTCAACCACGCAGCATTGACACTTGGCCAGTTGACAGACAATGCACCGGAGAAGAATATTGACTGGAAGACTTCAAAAATGACCAGGACGGAGAGTGAATGGGCGTAATGTGTCCGAATATTAGGAACGCTGATTCCGTAGATGGCTGTGGCGAACGAAGCAAGCAGAGCAACGACGGTGAAAACCCCAAGTACCGAGCCAATCGCTGCTGGGTGTGAAAAGCTGGCACCGTTCCTCATAACTGACGAAAAGCATGCAATCTGGGTCTGCGTGGCATTGGAAAAGATTCGGAGAATGGCGGAACCTTCGAAATCAGGGATAACCAGAGCAATGGCTGGGATAGCTGATACATCGGATGTTGATACTGGGATAATGGCCTGACCGATGATAGGAACACTGCTGTTCATTGGACATAGACTGGTCACGTTAGAAGTGCTTTAAATGGTAGGAAGTAGGACGACTCACGTATCAAAGTTTGCATTACAAGGGTTGAAGAGGAGGTCGAATCTATCTTCGCCATCTACATTCTGTCAGCAATGAAGCGTATTCATTCATCCGATATTTGCTTACAAGCGTTGACGGATATGTGCACTATGGTTGAGGTTAGCCGGATGCTCTCACCATGGCTGCCAGGGTCCACTTACACATGAGAGACTCATTTCTCAAATTACTGGATCCAGCCAGGTTGAACAAAACTGTCATGTTATCTTTGTAATAAGCTGCATCGAACGATGTGATATTGATCAAGCTCTGCCCTCCCATACAATCTCCAAAGTCTCCTGTGTATAATGCGGGATATCGGTCCACGGCCAGTGCTACCACAGTCCCACTGCTGTCCGTAGCCTGTACTGTGTCTGACGCATCATCGGCTCGCACCGACGTTATTAAGGTATTGAGGAGAACAAACGCCGTGGCCCATGCCGATGCTGAAAGAAAAGGAAACCGAGCCATGCTCCGAGGGTGAGGTATTAATATCTATTCGAGTATTGAGATGTGCAAGGAACTGATCGAGTGAGGGGAAACCCCCGGTGATGATAAGGGTGGTGAGAAGCTGTGTTAGAGTACGAAGGAGGTTGAAAGATTATTGAAAGTTGCTGGTGGTGACGTGCGTGACTGGCCTAGCCTCCAAGTCCGGTCCAAAGTCGATCAAACGTCTTCGATACTTCGATACGAGGACACTCGGAGCCCAAACTATTAAAAGTCGACGGTCGAAACAAATGAGCGAATGTCCTGTTGCAGATGGAATGATTTTCTGACAGTCTGCGAATGTCAATTGTGTGTGCAGGTGCAGCAGAGGGTCGGTCGTTCCTGTGGTCGAAACGATATTCTTTCCTTGCTTGGTTGAGGGAGCTCGACCGATTTAACCGCGCGCGGATCCAACGGAAAGGGCTATATTGATAGGATGCACATCCTAAGCTGCTGACGACGACGGTGGGAAAATAGCGACTGTCTGGTGCTATTATGCTATTATGCTATTGAGCTGGTCGATCTGTATGTATATCCTCACGGTTCGATGTCGAATAAAACGAGTGTCGGAGTGGTCGGGGCAAGAAGCAGGATAAAGAGGGAAGACGAGGTAAAGAGTGGATCGTTACTGTGATGTGTTTGTACCTGGGTCCTTGTATTGACTGGGGGCTGGCGCGGTTGGTGGTCGGTGTTTTTGGTGGTCGGTGGTCTGTTCTGTTTACCGGACTAGGTCCGTGTGGACACTGGACTCTGTGGAGGGGAGGTGAGGTGAGAGAGACCTGGCTAGATGTCAGACGAGCGCTACTTTGGGTATAGGTACAGCGTGTGTTTGTGGCAGGCCAGAAACAAATAAACACGATATCAAGGTCTAAGGTCCAAAGTCCAAGGTCCAAGGTACAGATTGTAAGCCACCTACGATGATGGCTATAAACTACAATTGGGTGATGATTCCCAGCGAGAGTAATTCTTGAATACCTTACCTCATGTGTGACCGTGGAGGTGGGATAATGTGGTGTTGGCAGAGAGTTGGAAAAATGAGTACGAGTACAGTACAAAAGGAAAGAATAACAAAGCCAGTAAATTCCTAAGCAGTTTCCTAATCCGATGTCCTTGCCCTTGTCCTTGTCCTTGTATCCCCAGATTCGCAGATACAGACCTACTGGTAGATATTATTTACCATATAAATTATCCACGTCCTTTGTAATTTTAAACATGGGATACAGTACCGGTTTACAGTAGAAACATCCCAATCTAGCCAACACCGCGAGGTCGGTGAGTTCTGCGGATCCGATAGGCCATATTCCTTCCATGCACGAATCTGGCATAGCAGCAATCTACATCTGGAATCCAGCCACATTTCTTGCGCAACCCCACATATATTGATTGATCCCTTTCAAAGAGATACGGTAAGGTACATAGGATCCAACATTATAACCTCTAGGTAGGGCCTTCGAGTACAAAGTACGGGACCCTAAGGAAATTAATTATCACGACCAAAAACAGACAATGGAATCATTCTCGGCTCGTTCGGACCTGCCAGCCACACCCACGAAGATCCTTATCTGCAGTGGGTAGGCGGCGCATGCATGTGCTGACATGTTTATCTTGACATTCCACGAAAATGAGGCTCGGGCGTCTTTGCAATTGCACCATATCAAATACCGTACGTACGCACAGCATATTAAATATTCCCTCTTAGTAAGATATCCTTCCTACTCGTACCTAAGAATACAACGAAATACTTTAAAGAGCCCTTTCCAGCTTACCATATTCTCAAACCCGCGTCCAGCCCTCTTTCTTCAAGAACAACAACAATGTCTCTCCCAACTCTCTTAGTTTAGACCATTCCACCACAGGTATCCAAGTCCTTAGATTTTTCCATTTCATTTCCATTTGCATTTCAATTTCGTGCTAGTAGTTAGTTTTAGTACCAACTTCGATATTTAGAGGGGTTGGGTAAAGTTAGGGCCCACCAACTCACTTGGTAGTTTACTCAGTACCCGAAGTTTTTTTCCCTTCCTTCTCTTTCTCTTTCTCTTCAAAGTAGCGAGTTATTACTTCCTTCCTTCCTTCCTTCCTTCCTTCCTTCCTTCATACATCTCCTGAGAAAATCTAGCTTTTACAAGTAAAGTTCGAGCTGTGAAAATTCCCTGCTCCTAATCCCACAAGCCTCTTTTCACCCGACAGACTCTCAAATAAACCGGCGCACTCTCTAGTCTACAATTATATTTCGATATTCTATTATTATCTATGGCCAACTTCCCGAAATCAGGCTTCAAAAAACTTTCTACCGTACTTTTCTAAATTTCCTTCCACTCGCACTCTATATTCTATACCTTGCAAGTGTTTTGGAAACGCTTATGTTTCTACCCATATTTCGATTTTGTTGCAAGATATATGTAAAAAAAAGGACCTGGAAAGAGTTGACTGGCTAGACTCTCTCCGCTTTCCCGGAAATTTACGGTACGGTACCGCTGTTCGAAAGCTGGTGATAGACACGTTTATGGGTTGTCGTTGCTTTTATCGTCTTGGTAAGTCATCGGAGACGCATTCTACAGCTCGGGACGAGGACGTCTCCTAATTTCTTTCCTCGTTATGGCGGCATTTCCGTTTCGGCGGGAAAAGAGTGTCTCACTTTTCTTTAGATTGAGGATATGAGAGAGCTGCGTTGAGTGTTTCGTACTGGATGAAGGGTATGTCAAGGTCTCGTTATCTATCCGAGTATCCGTGGGGATATCCAATATCCATTGATGGCTTGCGTTTATTTCCAAGGCTTATTGTTATTGGTGCGTCTCTTTTGCTGACCCGGCTCTTATGGATTGAAGCCATGGGGGGAAGGTTTTGAGGGGTTTCCTTAATTGCTTTATATCAACTGCTCCTTCGGCGACCGTGTACTTCGTGTCGTCGCCCATACTAGGGTGAAGAAAAGAACGGCAGTCAGTCTACAATACGAACAGCGAGCGTATACGCGACCGTGCATGGTCAAGCAGCCAATGAAAGGCAAAATGTCGACATCAGAAAAGAGTAAACTCACAAGACAAACCCCTCAACCATCTCCCTCCCCTCCGCCTCCCTACTAACCCAAACACTCATCCCCCTCGGCCCAACAGGAAACGTCCCGTACCCCGTCCCATCAATAATCACCTCTCCCCACGCCAGCCCCAGCACATCCGTCCAGCGCTCGCCCACATGGCGCCGTCCAACACTCATGCGCTTCCAATCGCACCGCCAGCCCGTATTCGCTACGACCGCGAGCCCCGCGCCTGCTGCCCGCGCTGGGTGTCCGAACCGCGTGAAGCCAATGCTGGTCGTCGAGTCGGAGAAGTATGATGCCTCGGTGCCGTAGGCCCAGAGCTTTCGCGCGAGCATGAGACGCGGGATGAGGAGGCCGCCATGCGGGGGGCCCGCGCGCGTGGGGAGGC